ACTTTTGTTAGGTTTCCATCGGCACACAAATCTGCAGTTACATGGAACGCACTCGAATTTCAGGTCAACTGTCAAAGCGATACATCCTTTTAGCTATTTATGTATTAAAGGCTATAATAACTGAATTTTTTAATTACATGTGCTTTGTATATAATTTGAATTTGCAATTCAGTGGCAGCTGCTACAAGGAGCCCAAGTTTTTTCTGTCCTTTAATAAAAGATAAAAGAAAGGTCGTATGGCGAAATAACATATGATGCTACATGCACGTGTCGGCAAAATATAAATACTTCCTATCTTACACGTTCACCATAATCCATGACAACATATCAGTATATCAGTAGTGTTATATAACAGTCACTTCGTTTCCTATGCCAAACTTGTATGCAAATTATTATCGTAATTGTATAACATCTCATCTTACATCGCGTCAAAATTGGTAACAACTAGTCCTTGGTCATTGCCAACGCCGTCGCTACTCGGTTAAACTGCTCAGTTTCGTCAGTGCTGCTGTTACCAAGAAGAAATGAATTAAAAATGTTTCAATACAAACTTTCCAGTTTTGACTGCCAGTGCAGTTTTCCTCACAGTTCTTCCACAGTCGGAAGCTTGTGTTCAAATCCAACATTTTTAAATCTTTTCAATGTATTTTTAACGTAAGCCAAAGTCACTACGCACGACAAAAATGTTTCATAATTACATATCAATACTGCATGGAAACGCCGAAAATGTTTAATCCTAGTCGGATGGAATTTCGCGGCGGCCTCATGTTTCATGCTGTTGTGTTTATAAATTTAAACTGATAACCTTTGCCCAATATACTCTGTAGCTGTACTCACATGATAATTCTTATTCTCTACATTTACACTAAAAATACAAGTAGGAAAATAAAAACTTAACAAGAACGCAAAAATGAATGAAAGCAAGAATGATTACATATTTCAATATGCTAGCAGTCACTATTCACTAACTGCTATTGCGATATGCCCGTACGAATCAATCACTTGCCCATTTCAGCATTTTAATCCTGCTTTCGCGTCTATGACTATAACATCTTTAAAATTTTTCAACGCATTTTAAGCCAAAGTCACTACGCGCGAACGAAAGTGCAAACGAAAATCTTTAATACTAGTCGGATAGAATTGCGTTACATTTGACATATATTACAGTAAAATGTAGTAAACGGCCAAGCAGCAGAACGTTTTATACTCATAACCTTTGCCCAAACCTCAAATATACATGTCTGTAGCAATAATAGTCACATGGTAATTTGAATTATGTAGATTTACACACTTTAACAAGAACGCAAAAATAAATAGTGAAAACAACTATGATTGCATATTTCAATATGCTAGCAGCCACTATTCGCTAACTGTTTTAGCAATATGCCCGCACGCAAAACATTTGCCCATTTGATCCATCTGACAAATATTTTTCCAACGGAAAACACGGTGTCCAATGGATCCATTGGATCCAATGGACAATTCGTTTGGCTATCTCAATGGCCTTGTATATCTACATGACGTCCATGTGCTTGTCATTACGTCATTGAAATACATGGCAATTCACCAACTGAAAACGCAAATGTCCGATGGAAATTCCACTTGTCCATTGGATCCAATGGACAAACAAAATTCCAATGGACATTTGCAAGTCCATTGGATCCATTGGATCCAATGGACAATTCGTTTGGCTATCTCAATGGCCTTCTATATCTACATGACGTCCATGTGCTTGTCATTACGTCATTGAAATACATGGCAATTCACCAACTGAAAACGCAAATGTCCGATGGAAATTCCACTTGTCCATTGGATCCAATGGAGAAACAAAATTCCATTGGACATTTGCAAGTCCATTGGATCCAATATGGACAATTCATTTGGCTATCTCAATGGCCTTGTATATCTACATGACGTTCATGTGCTTGTCATTACGTCATTGAAATACATGGTAATTCACCAACTGAAAACGCAAATGTCCGATGAAATTCCACTTGTCCATTGGATCCAATGGACAAACAAAATTCCAATGGACATTTCCAAATCCATTGGATCCATTGGATGCAATGGACAATTCGTTTGTCTATCTCAATGGCCTTGTATATCTACATGACGTCCATGTGCTTGTCATTACGTCATTGAAATACATGGTAATTCACCAACTGAAAACGCACATGTCCGATGGAAATTCCACTTGTCTTTTGGATCCAATGGACAAACAAAATTCCAAGGGACATTTCCAAGTCCATTGGATCCATTGGATCCAATGGAAAATTCGTTTGGCTATCTCAATGGCCTTGTATATCTACATGACGTCCATGTGCTTGTCATTACGTCATTGTAATACATGGTAATCTACCAACTGAAAACGCAAATGTTCGATGGAAATTCCACTTGTCCATTGGATCCAATGGACAAACAAAATTCCAATGGACATTTCCAAGTCCATTGGATCCATTGGATCCAATGGACAATTCGTTTGGCTATCTCAATGGCCTTGTATATCTACATGACGTCCATGTGCTTGTCATTACGTCATTGTAATACATGGCAATTCACCAACTGAAAACGCAAATGTCCGATGGAAATTCCACTAGTCCATTGGATCCAATGGACAAACAAAATTCCAATGGACATTTGCAAGTCCATTGGATCCATTGGATCCAATGGACAATTCGTTTGGCTATCTCAATGGCCTTGTATATCTACATGACGTCCATGTGCTTGTCATTACGTCATTGAAATACATGGTAATTCACCAACTGAAAACGCAAATGTCCGATGGAAATTCCACTTGTCCATTGGATCCAATGGACAAACAAAATTCCAATGGACAAATAGAGATCCATTTGACAAATGGAATGTCCAATGGCCTTTTCATTTTTCCATCGGACATCTTGCATGGGTATTGGACATTAATCAAAAAAAGGCGGTGTGAACCGCCGTGCGAAGAAAGCTCGAGTTGATAGCGGAGGCTGTTCTTCCGGTGTTTGGGTTCACAAACTTGTTTGTTTGGAAACAACAGATCACGATACTACTCCATCCGTCAAACAAAAAATAGACTTACAATACCCTTACAAATGAAAGGCCTTGGTGAAAAAGAATTAGTGATTGACAAGAAAGCTAAAGGTCAAGAAATCATGAATAAATTTTTTGAAGGTTTTCGTCAGGAGGAGTAGAATTACTGCGCACCTCAACAAGATCTGGCCGGGGCCTAGATGTAATTCCAATTCCAAAAGGAGGATTCACTGTTATGTAACTACTTAAGATCTGTGTTTGGTCAGGCAAGATGCTATTTAAGACCGATTCAAGGGATTTGCAGGATTCATGTGCCACTGAGTGAGTGAGTGAGTGAGTGAGTTTAAAATCTTTATTACCTCCAATTTCTGAAGAGTATTTTACAAGAAAGTATATATCAATACACACATACACACACATACATACTTATACATACAAATAAAGCTAACTAACTAATTAACTAACTACTTAAATTGAAATTACACTAGTTTGAAAACAAGATGAAATATAACATGCAGATTGCAACAAATATAACGTCCACAGTTCCATATCAAAGCATAAAGTTTCTGATTGTAAGCCTAAAAGAGTAAGCATAAAATCCGTGTCCGATAATGTTGCTAAATAAACCGCAACCTCTAAAGGAAGATTATCGTTTACCCAGTCCCACAATTGTTCACGCTCGTTTTGCGAACCTAAGCAATAAAGGAGAGCATGATTAACAGGATTTAAATAGTTACGATTGCATGAGTTACAACAGTCAATGTACGTATTAGGATGATCCACACGCTTCCCCCTGACCTTGTATGAGCCACAAATTAGTCTTATGACGTTATTAATCTCCTTCATGAAGGATGGATTCTTTCTTGCTATTATCCACCAATGAGAAACTTCATTCTTTGTATGAACCTTAGAGTAGAGATATAGTTGATTGTTCTTACTAATATTTTCTCGCCAAACACGATATTACCTATTCCAGGTAATAGTCCCTGCATGATCCTGATCATGATATTTTGAACCTTTTCTAACTCAATATAATTGTTCATTTTCAGCTGCCAGAGCTCTGATCCATACAGGAACTTTGGAATGCCAATCTTACGCCATAAATTAGACGAAACCATAGGATTTAATCCTCCGTATCGAGTACCAACAGCCATCAACATAAAACAGACTTCTCTACCCGCACATGTTGCTTTTGAAACGATTTCCTTACTGTCTCTATTTGCAAGCCAGAGTTTTCCGAGATTTGACCACGACCCCTTTTCAGATAAAATCTGGGAACCAAGTTTCCAAGCTCTCGACCTATTGTTTGCTTCGTGTTCTTGCTGGCTCTCTCCAAATATTAATATAACTGTTTTCGTAACACTATAATTAAATCTCCATTTTTGGCTGTATTCCCATGCAGTCTTTAGCATCCTGTCTAACCCGGATTTCAGGCGCGATAACATTGTTAAATCATCTGCGAACATGGGTGAGTCAAAATATAGTAAACCTAGGAAAATTCCTGCTTTGGTGTTTTTTAACTCCTCAATTAGATCGTCAATAAAGACAAGGAAGAGCAAAGTGATAGCACTCCCCCTTGACGTGTACCCTGATAAAGATTGTAAGTACGTGATGCTTTCCCTACGATAAACACGAACTCTTTCATGTCTATATACCAATTTTTAATAAGCCTCCATGTTTTCCCTGCAATTCCTTTGTTGTAGTGCAGCTTAAATAACATTGCCTCAATCCACATAGTATCAAACGCTTTTGTAATATCCATATACGCTACGTAAACTTTTTCTTTTTCTTCGCGACAATGATTTACTACTTCATCGATGACGAAACACGTTGTTAGAGCGTCCTGTTCTCTTTGGTAACCACCCTGAAGAGGTTGGTGAGAGTACTTTTCTTCGTTCTGCAGTCGTGATAATACAATTCTCTCAAGCATTTTATTTATGCAAGGCAACAAACTGATTCCTCTGTGATCGTCAAAAGTTCGTGAAGTTTTATTGCCTTTAGGAATAGGGATCTTAATCGCCATTTTGAAGGACTTTGGAACTCTTCAAGCTCGATAATATAACTAAACAATTTCAGTAGCAGTTCTACGATAATTTCACCTCCATATTTAATATGTTCATATGTAATTCCATCTATACCGGGTGATTTTCCCTTAGGAAGAGTATTAATTACTGAAGTGATTTCCTCCGCTGTTATAGAAGAATTAAATGTATAGTCATACATGCCCTCCGAGTTCTTTAAAATTTTATCAACTTTACTTTTCATCTCTTCTTGGTCCACATGTTCCGGAGGGGTAGCTAACTTCTCGTAATAGTTTGCCCAGAGATCTGCAACTACTTGGGGGTTCGTAAGCACAGCATTGTCCACATCTAAAGCCACCACCTTTTGTTTTTTCTTTTTCCTACGTACTTTGGTTTTAATCAGTTTCCAAAACGTCTCGTGATCTAACTCTATAGAATTGGCTATGTCCTCGAATTCTTTTCTTTCGTATTCCCAAACAGCTCTACGTTGTGCCTTCCTATATGCAGTCTTAGCTTTCTTATATTGTCTATAATAAACGTTTTCTGAGGCCCTCGGGGATCCCTCTTTTTTCCATTTTGCCCTCGCAGCCATAACGGAACGTTTCGCTTCTTTAAGACAGTTATTCCAGTACGGTTTTATATGTTTCTTATATTGAACCCGTGGTAGGACCATTGCCGCACTCTTTATTAAATTACTCAGCTCTTCATAAAAATTGTTAATGTCGGAAAAATCTTTGCTCAGCAGATCAGTTGCCGAGTTAACCAGTTTTTGATTGTAGCTTGAAGGTGTTCCGTAGTGCAGCTTTTCCACGATATTTCTTTCAAATAAATAACTCATGTTATCATTGCTGGTTTCTTCTTCCGTCACATCCGAGTGTAAATTTATACTAATAGTTACTGGTAAATGAAATGCTATGTTGTCTGGGTGCTCTTCCAGTACTTGCACTAAGTCAACATACTCGATTACGTCGTTTCCGACAAAAATGTAGTCTACGATGGAATTTCCCGTATTTGAGAGGTATGTAAACTGGGGGTTCTCGCACCATGGAGACAAATTAACTGCGACCAAGTTCATTTTACTCAGAAATGTTTGTAATCTTTTGCCTCTATTATTCCAATCTTGGCTTAGCTTATCTTCCTTGATGTGTGCATTAAAATCACCTAGCAGTAACAACTTTGTTCCGCATGACTTGTGACGTACGCAAAACTGTTCCAATGTATCTAAAGTTTTCATGTATTCTTTTAGATCATTGTTTCTTGAAGGCAAATATACTGCTACAATAACAAAATTAATATTCTCAATCTTCAATGACACTGATGCCAATCGATCAGACGCTGTTTGTATTTCTCGGACTTTAAGGGTTTTCTTTAAGAACAAAGCAACGCCACCTTGACCTCTTTTCCACCTTTCTCTGATGTTATTATCCGAACTTGTACACGAAATAACACTAAAATTATCATTGAGACTGTCTACAAATGACAATTCATCTTTGTACAGCCAATGTTCACTTAAAGCTAACACGTCTAATTTCTGCAAGAGTTTTCTTGCATAAATAAAATTGCCATATATTCCACCGCAATTCCAGCAACCCAAATTTAGTTTTGTTGGCTCGTATTTTGGTTATGTAATACACCTCTTTTTTCCCAACTTTGTTTTGACAGCCACTGCCTAGCATAGACATGATTGGGCCAAAAGTCATTGTTAGATACACAATCAAAATCTTCCTCGTTAACGTTAACTCGGACAGCAATTGTGCCTTTTCTTTTGCTGTTAAAAATTCGAATAAACGTTGGCGAAATGCCTTTTTGCTTCATGTATTCTTTAATTTTTTCTATGGTTGTGCCCAGACGCACGCCTCCGAGATATAGCTGTTTTATTTTTTTTCTTTGTACCCCGACGAAATCTGAACTCTCATGTTTGTTTAAATTATCCCCAGTAGCGGTTTTGTCTATTGCAGGAGTTTCTGCATTGGCTTTATCATTTGTTTCCTTATTTTGAATTATTGACTGTTCTAATTGATTGCCCGGGTTAATGTTTTGTTCTGTGTTGACGAGGGGCTTGTTACTTTGATCAGTATTTGCATTTGGTTTTGCATTTGACACGGAAGATTGGCTTTCTTTGTTTCCCTGCTTCGCCCACGAATTAGGCGAATGCTTATTAATGGTAAACAATGTATGACTCGAATCTCCTGTGTTTTCTGGCTCATATAACCTTTTGTTTGTAGATAGTTGTTTTTTTAGCTTTTCGATTTCTTTAAAACATTTTTTAGATTTTTCCTCAAGTTTGGCCAAAGTATCACGCTTATCTGCCAATTTCAAATTCTGACTCATTAAATTGTCAGTCACGATCTGTTTTTCCAGTTTATAATTTGCTTTAAAAGTAGCTATTTCGGACTCTAGTGAGCAGATTTTAGTGTCCCTTTCGGAAATGCTTGCTTTCAACTCGGCGCACTGTTCCTTTAAAGTCGAAATTTTGACTTCTTTATCGCAGATATATTTTTTTTTAAATCAGTAATTTCCTGCTTCATGCTTATCATAGCCTGATCAAAATCGTCTTTTAGTTGATAATAATTCTCGTCTAGCTTATCTAAAAGCGACGAGAATCGCTCTCGTTCGTCTTGGCCGCACTTAGGATTAATTAAGTTTTGAAATTCATCTGCATTTTCGGCCATAACATTCAAGAAAGATTGTACACCCTGAGATGGCGGTTTCGGAAATATATCATTTATTTCACTTGTCACCTCGCCTGAACTACAAAATTTCACCAGATTAAGTATATACGTTGCTAATTTCTCGGTTGCAGGACGCCCGCCCTGTCTGTTCAATCGCCGGAATGGTTTACTCTTTGGAAATTGAGAAAACTTATGTTTACAAAGCTCAATTATCCATGTCCTCATACCATTTAGACTGATCGAACTGTACTTTAATCATTTTTGTTTAACTTCCTCAGTTGAGGTATCTAGAATATCTCTTTCTATAATGTTTACGTATTTCAATATCTCTGTTACCTCAATATTTCCAGCTTTAATAGCCTTCAGAAAATCCTCGTATGCCTCGTCGGATTTTGAAGCCAAATCCCCTCCGACACATTCGCCAATATCTCGGTCTTCACATGATGTATTCAACTCCGATAAGCCAGATTCCATCATAGAACCACTTTCTTCATTCAATTCCACTACACGAGATAAAGACTCAGCCAAAATACGGCTATTACTTCTGGTATTGGCTGAGCCTTGCAGGCCACGACTATCCGCCATTTTGAATATCAGTCAGTCAGTCAGTCAGTTTAAAGCTTTATTTCCTCCAATTTCTGGAGAGTATTTTTACAGAATAAAAAAAAGAATTAATTACAAAATTAATTTAAATTACTTAATTAGTTAATTAGAATAATTTCAGTTTCTAGTTATATTGAAATAACGGTTCTATTAAAGCAATATGAAATATAGTTTGCCGATTTTAGCAAAAATGCTTTTCTCTGTTCGTTGTCTAAGCCCAATGTCTCTCTATTTTGTCCTAATATAGTCAATATAAAATCTGAGTCAGATAAGGCTACTAAATTTACTGTTGGTTCAATTTCACAATTATCCACTATCCAATTCCACAGGTTTTCCCTCTCATTGTGTGAGGCTAAACAGTACAACAAGGCGTGATTTACAGGGTTAACATAACTTTTTTGACATATTTCGCAAAAGTCTGTGTATACAACTGGGTTACAAACACGTTTCCCCCTGATCTTATATGATCCACATAGCAGTCTTATGACATTTGTTATTTCAAGAAGGTTCTTGGGATACTCTCTTGCAAGAAGCCACCATTCAGAAATTTCGTTGTTAGTATTGACCTGTGAATAGAGATATAACTGTTTGTTTCTTTTAATTCTCTCTTGCCAAACGTAATTGTATTTTTCATATACACGCAGGTTAACAATTTTCTTCCAATTCTTCTTCGTCGGAAAACAGTTTGTCGAGACAAATTCCATCAAATAATCCAAAAGGTCATATTTTGTCAAAACACACACTATGTCCGGTACAAAGCCGGTCATGTTGTTTCTATGGTTCCATTTCCAACGAGCCAATCTGATCAACAAAACACGTCGGCATAGTACACCAGCACTGATATTTATCAGCCTTCCCAGGAAATAAAGTTTACGCCTATCAATTTCGGCTTCGATTGATAACATTCCCAAGAGTCCCCTTGCCGCCGAGCCAGATGTGCCAGGGAGAAGGCCCTGCATAATACGAAGCATAATATTTTGGACCCGTTCCAACTCAATAAGATCGTTTTTACTCAACTTCCAAAGTTCGGATCCGTAAAGAAATTTAGGAATGCCAATCCGCTTCCAAAGATAGGATGCAATGATGGGATTCAATCCACCATACCGAGATCCAAGACTCATTAGGAAGAAACATACCTCCCTTCCTCTACCAACTGCGCCTAAAACAGCTGCTGAAGAATGTTTGTTTATATCCCAGATTTTTCCCAAATTTGACCATGTATCCTTTTCACTTATATCCAGTGAGCCAAGTTTCCATTTTCTAATAGCACAATTTGTACCGTGCTCTTCCTGCTTCTCACCATAAGTTAGAACAACAGTTTTCTTAATATTAAACGTGAATTGCCATTTGTTACTATATTCCCACGTAGTCTGTAACATTTTGTCCAGCCCTGATTTCTTTCGCGAAAGCATAGTCAAGTCGTCTGCAAACATAGGCGATCCAAGATAAACATTATTCAGAAAAATTCCAGTGTTCGTACACTGCAACTCCTCAATCAGGTCATCAATAGAAACCAGGAAAAGCCATGGCGAGAGAACACCCCCTTGCCTTGTTCCTTGTTGAATAGTGTATGTTCGAGAACTTTTCCCTTCAATACGCACAAACTCTGCCATATCAATATACCACTCTCTAATAAGTCGCCAAGCTTTACCACAGATGCCTTTGTTATGATACAATTTAAAAAGCATAGAATTGATCCCCATCGTGTCAAAAGCTTTGCTAATGTCCATGTAAGCAACATAGACTTTTTCCTTTTCTTCCAAACATTGATTAATAACTTCTTCAATCGTGAAACATGTTGTTAAAGCATCTTGCTGCTTTTGATAACCCCCCTGGAGGGGATGATGTAGATATTTCGGTTCCTTTAGTAGTCTTGATAAAACAATTCGTTCAAGAATTTTATTTATACTCGGTAGTAAACTTATCCCTCGATGGTCGTCAAATGATCGAGATTTTTTATTTCCTTTTGGGATCGGGATTTTAATTGCCAATTTGAAACAGACAGGAATTTTTTCAGACTCAATAATCAAATTAAAAAGTCTCAATAGGGCATCAATAACGACTTTACCTCCGTACTTTATGTGCTCATAACTAATTCCATCGATTCCAGGTGCTTTGCCATTTGGTAAACTCTTCACAGTTGTATCTATTTCTTCAGTGGTTATCGGGGTACTGAATATATAATCATGTTTAAACTCCGAACATTGTAAAATTTCCATAACTCTCTCGTTAATTTCGTCAAATTGTCTATCTTTGGAGGGTGTCGCTAATTTTTCATAATAATCAGCCCAAAGATCAGCTACTACCTGTGGATCACTGTACACCTTTGTATCCTTTTCCAAAACTGTTATTTTGCTTTTCCTATTTTTTTTACGTACTCTGTTATTTAGCAATCTCCAAAATTTTTCCTGATTTATCTCGTTTGAATAAGCTAATTCGTCAAATTCTTTTCTCTCAAATTCCCAGGCTGATCGTCTCTGTTCTCTTCTATATTTGCATTTAGCTTTTTTGTATTGCATGTAGTAAATATTCTCTGGGAACCTTGGGGATCCCTTCCGCATCCACTCCAATCTTGCAGCCATAACTGCCTTTCTTAAGTCTTTAAGTGTGCTATTCCAGAAAGGCTTTACATGCTTTCTGTATTTAACTCTCGGTAAGACAACGTCAGCGCTTTTAATTGCATTGCAAAGTTCATCATACAAATTATTTACATCGTCCAATTCGTCGTTCAGGATTTCAGATACTGAAGTTGACAAGTTATAATTGTAGATATTTAGTGTGTCAGCAGAACATTTTTTCCAACAAATGTTTTCATGCATGTAATCTTGGTTAACTTCATTCTTAGATCTTTCGAAATTTTCCGTAATTGTTGTGCACAGTTTGATTGTTAATGGCAAATGATAGGCCACATTATCCGGATGTTCACTGAGTACTTGCACAGACTCCATGTATTGCACCAGGTCCTTATCCAAGATTATATAATCAATGATAGAATTTCCTGTGCGTGACAAATACGTAAGTTTTGGGGAGTCACAGATTGGAGATAAGTTCACGGGAACCAACTTGAGTTTATTACACATCGATTGCAATTTCGTGCCTCGTTTATTCCATTTTTGGCCTACTTTATTTTCTTCGATATGTGCATTAAAATCCCCAAGCAAAATCAAATTTGTTTTATTGTTTTTATATTGCAGACAGATTTGTTCTAAAGTTTCTAATGTTTTCATGTATTCATCGAAGCTTCGGTTTGTTGAAGGAAAGTATACTGCCACAACGACGACTTTTGTGTTCGCAAGCTTGAAAGACGCCGTAATTATTCGATCACTGATGTGTTCAAATACGCGTGCGTTGAGACTTTTCTTTAAAAATAAAGAAACACCCCCTTGTCCCCTTCTCCAACGTTCATTCAGATTATTATCTGAGCTACTTTGTGAGAAAACCTGAAAGTCGTCATTTAAGCTGTCTAGAAAGATTAGCTCATCTGGATAGAGCCAGTGCTCGCATATTGCAAAGATGTCTAATTCACGCAGTAATTTCTTTACATAGATATAACTTCCATATATTCCGCTGCAGTTCCAACAGCCAAGCTTTAATATAGTTTGTTTATGAGCTATCTTTTGTTTCATTTTTATTTATCCAGTTTTGTTTCGAAAGCCAGGGCCTAGAATAAACATATTCTGGCCAAAAATCGTTTCCAGATACACGCTCAAAATCATCATTCTTTACATTGATTCGCACTGCAACAGTGCCTTTTCGTTTACTATTGAAAAGCCTGACAAAAGTTGGAAATATCCCTTTTTCCTGCATGTACTGTTTAATTACATTTGCATTTGTACCTTCACGTACACCGCCGAGATAAATTCGTTTAATCTTTTGCCTCTGTACTCCTACAAAATCACTTGTTTCTTTCTCAATATCTGGACTTTCTCGGTCTTCAAAATTAGTATTATCAATGTTACTATTAGCCTTATTAGACTCAATCTGCGTGACTGAGCGTTCTGATTGTTGTACTTGCTTACTCAATTCAGAGCCAGTTGACTCAGGTTGACTCACATTTGCATATGATGTGCTTGAATCATTCTTTTGTTGTTTTTGTTGTTTTTGTTGTATATATTGTTTAGAAGTAATTGAACAAGCTTTATTGTTTGTCCCAGAGTTAGAATTAGCTGTCTTAGTTTGTGGAACTTCCATGCAAATTATATCACTGACTGTTTGATCTTTTGATGCATTAGCCTCTGTAGACTTAACTGCGCTCGAATACAATATGTCTAAACTCCCTTCTGAACGTTCCGCATCGATTACCTCGATGCGTTTGCTTTGTTGTTTTTTAATACGTTCTAGATCTTTGCATATTTTATCAGTTTTTTGCTCAAGTTTAATAACGTTCTCAGCTTGCCCGACAAGTTTCATTTCATAATTTTCCAATTTTTCCCTCGTCTCTTCAAGGTTCGCTTTATAATTACCTCGAAATGATGCAAGTTCAGACTCGAGGGATCGAATTTTTGCTTGTTTCTCGCATAGGTTAGCCTTTAAATCGGAAATTTCAGTTTTAAACTGTGAGACAGTTTGATCAAAGTCCTCCCTTAGTTCACTAACCTTAACATCAAAATTTTCGATAAATGTCATAAGCTGCTTTGTCTCTTCTTTATCTAATGATTTTAGAATATCCTGTGTATTATCACAAAGGGGTTTTCTAAACATATCGTTAAACTCTGCCGTAATTTCCCTTGAAGAGTAGAAATTAACCAAGGCTATAATATCACATGCAAGCTTTTCGTTCGCAGATCGGCCGCCAGTTCTATTTAATCGTCTTACCAGTTTCTCTTTTGGACACTCTATAATCTTACTTTTACAGTAGTCCAAGATCTTCTCCCTTCTTTTATAAAGGTTCGCTGTTTTGTCTCTTGTTAATATACCCTTCACATACTGAGTCGACTATGCTGCAATGTCTCTCTCGGTGTCTTCGATAAATTTTAAGATTTCGCAATCCTCGTCGCTGTTTTGCCCTTCGTTAGCCACGTTTTCTACTAATGATATATCTGATATATTTCCCCAATCGTCAGAACCTAACTGTGACAGAGTTTCTGCCAAAAGTCGGCTATTTCCTCTTAAACGAGCGGAGCTCAAAATTTCATGTCCGTCCTCCATGACGGTCAGTCAAGTGATGAAGAGTAAATTGTTTACAAAAGAATTTAAACTAGGTATTATAAAATTTACAAATTGATAAGATTAATGGTTAAATTATAATAGGCTAATAACTATCTGATCACAAACGGATCAAAGACCGAGTTTTGGACACAGTACGAAATGTACATCGCGCATTTTAACTTAAAGTCATCACTAAAACTGTCATTACTTCTACTTAAAACTGAGTAGTCCCCCAATAAGGTTCTGATAAAACTCTGATCATCCAAGGAATGTAAATTCATAATGTTCTAACTGGAAGATGATCTTGTATCCAAGACCACCAGCTTTCTCTAACTTCTGTCTTTCTGCAATACAATAAAGCATGATGAACAGCATTATTATAAAGTCCCTGACATGCTGAACAAATTCCGTTTAACGTTCCAGGATTCCCAAATCTGTCCTTATTTACAGTCAAGGAGCCACACAGAAGTCGAAGAATATCGTTATCTGCTTTGATTGTCCGTACTTCCACAGATCATACCAGATGCTCAAAGATATACAAGGTTGACTCCAGAGATAGAATTCAATTCTTTTTCCTTTCAATTTTATCCACCCATTCATAATGATCACTTTCATACACTGTTTTTTTGACAATTTTCTTCCAAATAATTTTTGCTGGGAATTCGTCATTTCTTAGAAATTCAGTAACATAACCGAGTAAATTTACATCAACCAACAACTTCATAATATCAGGGATAAACCCTGACATTGTTGAATTGCTCTGCCTCCATTTCCATTTAATAAGTTTCCGGATAAACAACTTTCTATACGCCAATGAAGAGCTAGAGTTAATAATTCTGCCCAATAAATACAGTTTTCGTTTGCCAATTTCAGCCTTTATGCCATGTAAACCCAGTAGACCCCTGGCAGCCGATCCTGAGGAACCCGGTATCAGACACTGAGTAACTCTACAAAACACGTTCAGGACCTTTTCCAGTTCTTTGATGTGTTGGTTTTTCAGGTACCACAGCTCGCAACCGTATAGTATATGTGGAAGAGCCACAGTTTCCCACAAATTGGCGGCTATTTTTGGATTCAATCTACCAGCTTTGCATCCGAGCTTTGATAACTTAGATATTACATCAAAACCTTTGTTCACTGTTGCACGGACAACTTCGGTAAAATCCGGATCAGCATGCCATAATTTGCCAAGGTTTTTCCAAGTGTCGGATTCCCTTAAAGGAGAATCACCCAATAACCATGTTCTCTCTGAACCAATGCTGGATATGATTTTTTCCCCGAATACCATCATTACCGTCTTGTTAATATTTAATTCAATTCGCCACTTAATCGCATAGTTGTGAAGACAACACAGAATCCGATCTAAGCTTTTTTTCACTTTTGACAACAGGGTCAGATCATCAGCGAACATTGGTGATCCAAAATGTTTATTGTATAAAAATAAACTCCAACCGGTGTTTTCTAATTCATAAATTAAGTCGTTGATATATACCAAGAAAAAATCAGAAACAATCTACAAAATGATGATCTTACCAATAATGTTATACTGTAACACTGTTTACCTGAAGCTATCTACCACCAACCAGGAAAAGATTGAGAAAATCCAGAATCGAGCATTGAGAGTAATAAATGGTCGGCGAAGTTCCGTAAGGCTGCCAAGTGTGAACGAAATTAGAAATAGGTCCTGTGGTCTTGAGGTTTTTAAATGTTTAAATGGCATAGCGCCAAAAGCCTTTCAAGATTATTTTAAAAGAGTTGCACACGCTAAATGTACACGTGCGAATAACACGAACATTGTCCTTCCAAAGATAAGAACTGAAACCGGTAAGAAAACTTTTGCATACCAAGGGACAATTATTTTTAATAAACTACCTAGTGAATTGAAGACAGAACAATCACTTTTAAGATTTAAGAGCGGTTGTCTGTAATAGTCAGGTAAGACGTGTAAAATGAGAAAATTCAAACTCGTTCAAACTTTGTCAGAATATAGGCCTGTATGAAGTATTAATGTTGTGAAAGTTTTATTTCGATCGGATAAATATTGAAGGAGAGAGACGTCGAAATTGGTTTTCCCAGGCCACTTTCGATTTTTAGAGGTCATTTTATGGCACTACTAAAATCGCTCTATTTTGCGCGTTAATGGGAATATTTCACAAAACATGATTTCGTTTTATAAATTAGAGATATTTATTGATAGCAGACGAAATGTAGAGACATTTCTGTAAAAAGTGAATATTTTACAGATTTTCTTAATGTTTTTTATTTTCGAACCTCTTTATTATATGCCATATTAGGCAGCGAATATCTCCATTGTTACATCGATTCAGACAAAAAATTCATAACCAGATCAAAGAAATATGTTTTCCCTTGCTATTGATCAAATAAAATTTTTGGGCAACTTAGAATTGAATTTTTAACGAATTTTTTCGTAACCCCTATTTGACCGAAATAACCGTATGTTAATATAATCAGCGTCGAGTCATGTAGTTCAATAAATAACCAAAGAGCTCGTCAAAAGCGTTTATTTCTTCGAGTAAACAAGTCTAGGCCTATAAAACTACCTTTGCTAAAGCTGTACGATTGGCTGAAAGCATTTAGGTCTAAATCACACTGTTTACAGTCGCTTCTTGTTGAGGTAATGCCCGATAGTCGGTGCCGCTGATTTGGCAGATTTGGTTTCAATTATATTTTATCACGGATATGCCGCGATAAGTATAGCGAGTATATTTTCTCTCCCCCTCCCATAAACTCGTGTTCTCACATAAATAGTGCACACGCTTTTTGTAAAAAACATAGGCCATTTGCAAGGTCATACGATGCAAACGTCGCATTGTTTTGACGTTTTTTTAGATTGTCTGAACAAAAATATAGACTAGCCATACCTTTCGCCGAAAATAACTTCGACCCCTTCTAACATATCGTCTTTGTAATAGTCTTGTTCGAATCCCCATCAAAAACACTATTTAGAGTGTTATTTGCAAGCCTGTATCTTCAAATTTGCATCTTTTATCACGGTATTTCCATTTCTTGTCCGGCTGTGAGCTCGAGGCTCGAAGTAATTTGATAGTATACGATCGCATTTGACTTTCAAACTCCCATAAATCGCTACAATGTTAATAATGACTATAACTGTCGTTCGGAATTAGTTGATCTTTTATTTCTGAATCGAATGGTGGTATTTCTGTCTTCATAGGCATAGCATGTACTGATCCGAAGAACGAGTCCTTCAGAAACATCCTATTATTGTTATCCTAGCCTGCGTAGCGGCTCTCAGAGACTTTCTCTGATAGCCGCTACGCAGGCTATTGTTATCCTTGTTAACCCATTTATTGACAGCACGGCCCTACCACTGACTGAGTATTAAAAATCGTCTGGCGTTGGACAGGGTAAATACTAAAGTCATTACTGTGCTGATGGATTAACAAGAGCCATTGGCAGATAGGTTTGTTAACCCATTTACTGGCAGTACCCTGTACCACTGACGAGTAAAATTTTCTGGCGCTGGACAAGGGAAGGGCGCATTGCCAGCTAATGCATGGGTTAAACCACCGTGGTTAAACATAAGATTTAATGCTCCAGGAAATGTAAACAAACTATCAGTGTGACATCCCAGTTTATATATTTATACACTCGGAATATTGATTTCTCGGTAAATACAAAATTATTTTAAAGTATAACAACCAGCGAAGACGTAAGCCACTAACTACCCTGCGCGGCTGCGCGCAGACTATATAATGACATATATATATTATCCGTCCGGTCCGTCCGTCGCCATCCGTCCGTCATTCATCCGTCCGTCCGTGTCCCCGTTTTATCCTAACTCGTTTTTACTACACAAAGTTTGCATAATTAAGGCAGTGCGGTTCGTCATGATCAACATTTTCAAAAGCGGCCAATTAGACCAGGGGTTAAAGGGCAATGACAATGACATGCAGGTGACATTTAACATTGTGTCTCACTAATTAAAATTTGCGTGTTTATTAATAATAATGTTTATGAAAGAAAGCAAAAATATATACAAGACAATCTCACATGTGAAATTGTTTCACTTCGTACAGCCTTGTGATGCAGTACAAGTATAAACACCAAATGACAAAGCATTTGTAAATCCTAAAACATAATTAAATCATACTATCGTATTTCAACCGCGCGTTTATACTGCTTGGCGCATTCGCTGCGTTATATTCATTTATATACACAGAAAAGCATGTCATTGTCTTTGCGGACCATAGGCAAAAAGCATTCGTCAACCACATACCAAATTTAAGCAATCGTTAAATCATATACATGTCATGGAAAGAATATGAAAATAATGTTGAATGAAAGCTAGCTGTATAATGTTAAAAGCACTGCATATAGTGCCGAACCACTGCCGGTATAATTGCAAAAGCACCGCGTATATAAATGGTGAAAGCACCGCGTATAATGCTGGAACCACAGCGTATAATGCGGGAACCACCGCGTATAATGGCGAAAGCACCGTGTATAATGCCGAAAGCGCCGCCGTATAATGCTAAAAGCACCCAACAAATTGCCGTTTGATCACTTTAAGCCAGCTATGGCTTTCCGTAAAAGAAGACCAAAGATGAAAGATGATCACATTGCCTGTTTGCCTTATTCTTGACCGCGCTACACCACGGTTAAAATTCACTGGTACCGTCATGCAATGCGCCAAATAGAAAATTTTGATATCGACCCACAAAACAAAATTAGGATCTGCTGCCTTGCTCGCTCGCTTCAGGCTCGCTCGCTGCGGCAGCAATTAACTGCCCATCACTTTCAAAACAGCAAGAAGATAAAGACAACGTGTACGGGTGAGTTATCCAGGAAATAAATAGTTAGTTTACAAAATGAATTCCGTTTTTGTGGATAAAAATTAGTTATAAATAATCTCTCCTGTATGTGTTAAATGTTACATGCATGTATAGGGATTTCCCCCAGTATATTCCTTCTCTTTGGTATGGCTGTTTCTGATTATTCGTCTCTTGTCACTGAGTGGTCATGTGGTGTCAGCAACTCTAATCCAGCCGATTCAGAATGCGTTCTTCGAATGATTGTAATAAAAGAAACACCTGAGGTCGCACGACGTTTGCTTGGATTCCAGTTTGAGAACAGAGTCTTGTCTTCCACCTGCACGAGCCGATTAGTTCATTATTTTCTATCTGACATATACTTTTGTTCTGGATGATACATTTACAACAGGCAGTACTCAGGCCAAAGAAAAGTCAAGAAAGGCAGGCCAACTTTCCCAGAGGGTGGCCCGGAATGGTGGAATTGTGCAACGTGTTAAATATTAAGGAATATTCTGAAAATTGAGGTCGAAAAAAGTCTGAAAAGTATTTTAGACCCCCCCCCACCCCCGTTATCGCAAAATTAATTTATATAATTAGACTATTATATAACTAAAAAATTCGGCCCCCTTCCTTTTACGGGCCCCCCTCAAAATGTTTTCTGGTAAGCAAAAATGTTACAGTAAAATGTAAAGGGGGGGTGGGTGGGTGGGGCGACGTTTTTTTGAAAAAAAAGTTCCAAAAATTATTTTTGCGATAATGGGGGGTTCAAAATACTTTTCACATCTTTTTCTTCCTCAATTTCAGAACACGTTGCGCAATTCCAGCATTCCGGGGCCCCCTCTGTGAAAGTTGGGCCCCCTTTCAAGTTGACTTTTTTGGCCTGAGAACTGCCTGAGTGTTCTAGATGTATCATCCAGAAATGGTTGGATAACTGTAATTGAAATTGGACCAAAAGTATATGTCAGATAACGCGTAACCACAAACAGCCATACAAAAGAGAAGAAATATACCGGGGGAAATCCCTACATGTAGCTTAACACATACAGGAGAGATTATTTATAACTCATTAATTTTATCCATGAAGACGGAATTCATTTTGTAAACCAACTATTTATTTCATGGATAACTCACACGTACATGTTGTCTTTATCTTCTTGCTGTTTTAAACTGAAGTGATGGCCAGTTAAAACTACTAAATAAGTAACAGTGCGTAGAAGTTTGGTCTGAAGTTTGACTAAAGTTATTGAGCAACAACAAAATAATCAAATATACAAGACATACAACTGTAGTAAATATTACCAAATCATAAATGAACAGAGGGTCTTTTTTAAAAATAGAAAAGACACCTTTTGGCATGACATCACGGTGAAAGAATCCAGCTTTAATATTAATTAAATTAATTACTGTAAGTAAACAAATTACAACTTCAACGTAAACTGACAGATGTTTTTGACAAAAAGCGCGTGCACTATTTATGTTCGAACAGTTATAAGCACGACGAGTCGTGAAAGAACAGATGTTTATGGGAAGGGGAGAGAAAATACACTTAGCTTGCTATACTTATCGCGGCATATTCCCGATAAAATATAATTAAAACCAAACCGCCAAATCAGCGGCGCCGGCTATACAATATATTACAGGCATTACCTGAACAATAAGCGACTGTAAACAGTGTAATTTAGACCTAAATGCTTTCTGCCAATCGTACAACTTTAGCTAAGGTAGTTTTATAGGCATAGGCTTGTTTACTCGAAGAAGTAAACGCTTTTGACGAGCTCTTTGGTTATTTATAGAACTACATGACTCGGCGTTGATTACATAACATACGGTTATTCGGGTCAAATACGGGTTACGGAAAAATTCGTCAAAAATTCAATTCTAAGTTGCCCAAAAATGTTATTTGATTAATAGCAAGGGAAAACATATTTCTTTGATCTGGTTATGAATTTTTTGTCTGAATCGATGTAACAATAGAGATATTCGCTGCCTAATATGGCATATAACTAGGTTACCCACAGGGCAGTAATGCTGCCTTTGACAGCAAAAGACAAACTACAGGGTGTTGAACGAGTCCTTCAGAAATATCCTATTATTGTTTAGCCTGCATGGCAGGCGGTTCCTAAAATTGGACAAGCCTGGGAAATACCGCCTGCCATGCAGGCTAATTATTTTTATCCTTGTTAACCCATTTATTGACATTACCCTACCACTGACTGAGTATTAAAAATCGTCTGGCGTTGGACAAGATAAATACTAAAGTAGGGGTCATTACTGTGCTGATGAATTAACAAGAGCCATTGGCAGATAGGTTTGTTAACCCATTTACTGGCAGTACCCTATACCACTGACGAATAAAATCTTCTGGCGCTCGACAAGGAACAGGCGCATTGCCAGCTAATGGGTTAAACCACCGTGGTTAAACATAAGATTTCATGATGCTCCAGGAAATGTAAACAAGCTATCAGTGTGACATCCCAGTTTATATATTTATATACTCGGAATATTGATTTCTCGGTACAGACAAATTATTTTAAAGTATAACAACCAGCGAAGACGTAAGGCACTATCTACCCTGCGCGGCTGCGCGCAGACTATATAACGACATATATATGTCATCCGTCCGGTCCGTCCGTCATTCATCCGTCCGTCCGTATCCGCGTTTTATCCTAACCCGTTTTTAAAACACAAAGTTTGCATTTAATTAAGGCAGTGCGGTTCATGATCAATATTTTCAAAAGCGGCCAATTAGACCAGGGGTTAAAGGGCAATGACAATGACATGCAGATGACATTTAACATTGCGTCTCACTAATTAAAATTTGCGTGTTTAATAGTGTTTATCAAAGAAAGCAAAAATATGTACAAGACAATCTCACATGTGGAGTTTTTTCACTTACAGTACGTACTGCCTTGTGATGCAGTAAAAGTATAAATACAAATGACAAAGCATTTGTAAATCCTAAAACATAATTAAATCATACGGCACATTTAAGATTTTAATATCGTATTTCAGCCGCGTTTATACTGTTTGGCGCATTCGCTGCGTTATATTCATTTACCTGTATATCAGTATATACACAGAAAAGCATGTCATTGACTCATTGTCCTTGCAGACCATAGGCAAAAAGCATATGTCAACCATGCACATACCAAATTTAAGCAATCGTTAAATCATATATACATGTCATGGAAAGAATATGGAAATAATGTTGAATGAAAGCTAGCATCGCGTATAATATTAAAAGCACCGCATATAGTGCTCGAACCACTGCGTATAATTGCAAAAGCATCGCGTATATAAATTGTGAAAGCACCGCGTATAATCAGGGCGCTATAAAACATGTTTTATAGCGCCCTGGTATAATACTGGAACCACCGCGTATAATGGCGAAAGCACCGTGTATAATGCCAAAAGCACCGCCGTATAATGCTAAAAGCACCCAACAAAATGCCATTTGATCACTTTAAGCCAGCTATGGCTTTCCATAAAGGAAGACCAAAGATGAAACATTGCCTGTTTGCCTTATGCCTGACCGCGCTGCACCACGGTTAAAATTCACTGGTACCGTCATGCAATGCGCCAAATAGAAAATTTTGATTTCGACCCACAAAACAAAATTAGGATCTGCTGCCTTGCTCGCTCGCTTCAGGCTCGCTCGCTGCGGCAGCAATAAAGAGGTTCGAAAATAAAAAACATTAAGAAAATCTGTAAAATATTCACTTTTTACAGAAATGTCTCTAAATTTCGTCTGCTAATCAATAAATATCTCTAATTTATAAAACGAAATCATGTTTTGTGAAATGTTCCCATTAACGCGCAAAATAGAGCGATTTTGGTAGTGCCGTAAAATGACCTCTAAAAATCGAAAGTGGCCTGGGAAAACCAATTTCGACGTCTCTCTCCTTCAATATTTATCCGATCGAAATAAAACTTTCACAACATTAATACTTCATATAGGCCTACATTCTGACAAAGTTTGAAAGATTTTGATTTTTTTCATTTTACACGTCCTACCTGACTATTACAGACAACCGCTCTTAAGTCTGGTTGCAAAGAGTTTAACTTTGACTTTTAAAACTGTACATAAATTATCTTTCACATTTTATATATCTTATACTATATTTAGGTAACTACCATAGCTTAGTGTAGTAATAATATTAGTCTAGTGGACAGACATTGACAGGTCCTTGGTTGATACCAGCAATATACAGGGTGTATCATAAAAAACGGAGTCCTCGCTTCAAATATAAATTTC